TTAAATGTTGATTTAACATAAAATCCTGATTTGATTCAGGTTGAATGATGAATGCAGATTTTATCACCTTTACACTTTCCTCAACTGTTGAAAATTTTCAAAAAGGTTGTTTTCCTGCTCTGCATCAGTTATATTGACCAACATTCCTTCAACGCTTTGAACAAAAACTTGTTGAAGGACTAAAAATTAAAAGAACAACAAGAAATGAAGAAAGTGAATTTCTGTCAAGAGGCCTTTGCATACATGTATGTCAGTTTTACGTGAAGGAAGCTGTGTTACCAAGTCCTTAGAGCAACTTCAAGTTCTTCACCCTGTTACTTAAAGGATTTGTTCTCAGCTGCTGTGAGTTCAACTACACTAGCTACAATTTGGACATTGTCAACAACATGCCTACCTGGAAATTAACTAACCCCATTTTTCTTGCCTTGATGAGCCCAGAAGAAAACTCCATGCAATTCAACCAATTGTTAGTGTATTTATTCAGAGTTAAAATGCAAGAAAATGTTAGGGTGATTCCTCACTTTATCACCGCATATCCTGTATTGCACATTAAAATCATGTAATCTGGGAAATGAGCACACACAAGTTCCGAGAACATGGTAATGTTTTTAAATCCATGGACCAGGTAAAGAGGCACGACCATCTTTAGCTCTATGAGCAAGCACAGTGACCCATACTTTTTATTGCATAAATTTCATGTACCATTTATCCCCTTTAAATTGGGGATTTAAAAAAAAAATCTCCAAAGGGTAAAAAGATAAACCTTAAAGCATGCACAAATTAGCCCTTTACTTGAGGATTCAAATTATGATCTTGAAAGGAACGACTCAAGGAACATTTTGAGTCTATGTCATTTAAATTTGCTTGATTTTCCTACTATTTATATATGAAATTGTTCCATATGCTCCAAACTTTCTATGTACCGTATCAAGTTATTTTCAAGGGTTACTTTAAAAACCTTAGCTTCCACCTGCAGCAAAATGTACTGTGAACTGATGAAATGACACTCATTGATTTAAGTGCCACCTTACAGGCATAAATGGGGTGTTTGGCCCGTTATTTAATCTCCTAAACAAGCACATTGACTTATCTTTTTTAAAATTAATGTATTTTTCTAAAGAGACATTTGTAAGGAACATTAAAGGAAAGTTTAAGGACAATTATTATTCAACATTTTTTTTTTCAGAGAAATTTATGTCTTTTAAAAGAAAGATACTTAATGCTCTACTGTTTTCCAGTTTTAACTCACTCACGAAAAAGAAAAGCAAAGGTGACAACAATCTTCAATCAAAGTGCTTCTGTTATAGTTTAAAAGGCACTCAGTAACATAGACAATCTGTTACTTGTTCTAATTTATTCCAAATTCTTCATTTTAAAAGAAGTTTTACAAATTAAGGTTCATTTAGTTTCTTTTCAAATCCATTTCCTACACCACACAGTTTATAAATAACAAACATTCTCAAGTCTCCTTGTCTACAAGAAAGTGTTTCAGAGGACAGAGACACGCTAAGGGATAACTGATTACAATGAAACTTGTTGCAAAAGATACTTTGGTAAGAATTATTCCAAAAGCCACAGAAATTACAATTTCTGCCCTTTGCCTTAAAATTCCAGGGGAGACCACTTGATGCCTGCAGAGTACAACTGAAACTTAGGTTCCACAATGTCTAACTAAGCTAAATTAAAAATCTGATGAGACAAATTGGCCAATTTACATTTAAATGCTTTTGTCAGGTCCACTTTAAGGAACTCAATCAAAAATTTGAATTTTGTAAAAGGGATTAACCTTCTATCATTTTTTCGCACTTACTTTAATACTTAAGAACATGTGATAAGCAATCATTCTCACAATAAATCACCATGATAGAATCTTAAATTCATTTAGAATAAAATCTTTAAACAAAAAGAATAAAAGGTGTTGCTCTTTTGATCATAAATATTTTACAATGCGGCTTAAAATGGAAGTGCAAGTCCTCCAAAACATATGCAAGTCCTTCCAAACAAAGCCATGCCAACTGATGTACATGAAAAATACATTTTGCATCTGCGTCAATCTATATACTGAAGCTTGAGGACAATTAAAATTATCGATTTCTCGCCTCAGTTCGTGACCGATATTGAAGAATGTAACATGACTTGGATCACGCTACATTTCGAGGAGAGGATTTTGAATGTTTAAAATAATCGCCCAAATTTCGTGGAGTTTGTTGTGATTAACGAAAACAAAACAAAAGGAATCGAAGGGTTGGTGCATGTTAGGATAGTTCATTTGAGTTGTCCAACGGGCGTAACTAAGTCCGTGGACTGGAGATCATTGTTTCGTCCATCACCCCATTCCTTCGTGATCAGTGCAACATTTGTGAAGATGAGTAAGTAACGTTCCTATGTAATAACATACATTTCATTGTCAAAGTACTTTGAATATCTCTCACCTGTCGAGGGGTTCCTAGTAAACATTAGAATTTCAACATGGTAGAAAGACGTTACTGAACACATCCGATGTACAAAGTGAAGATTAGACGATTTTTAGGATTGGTCATCATCATCCATCATCAAATGTAACACAATTGGCAAAATAAACTGACTATTCAGTGCGACATCGATTCTTTAAGTCCTGAACTCATGGCAGCTCGTCCGCCATTTTGAATGTGGCTGCTAAGAAACTGGGTAGAGAGCTAGTCTTGGCCAATCAGAAAGAAGACATTGTTTTAAGAAAAATCTGAGTTCTTAACTTCAACGAATCTGGATTTTGATTTTGGAATCGGGAATTCGGATTTTGCGGTAAACACGTAATCTAAAAACGACTTTCAACGCTGAAAAATCCATCCTCATAGTAGATATCAATTAAGAAATCTAACCCCGGATCTCATGGATTTCCATGTTTTGCGTTTTTCCGGGAAATCCAAAAAGGACCTCTTCTAGGAGGTCTCAATGTGGTTAGCCGTTGGCTATAAAAAGAAAAAAAATATATATATATATTAGCTCGGGATTTTGAATGGAAATCCACCTTGGGGACAGATTTTTCAGCGTCGAAATCTGTTTTTGCTTTTCATTTTTTACTGCAAATCTGTATTTCAAAATTTTAACCCGGATTTACCAATCGAAAGCACCTAGAACTTTAGTGCCGTTTTCCCAATACTCGCAGTTATTTTGGACTCTTTTGAATAGAAATATGATTATTTTTATATAGCCAACAACTTTAAGGCTTTTCGACTATCTATTAAGGCCATCCTCGACAGAAAGTTTCTTCAAAATTGGTTCATCCATGTCCAGCCTACGTGTAGCCGTACTTGGCGGGGGGAGGGGAGGGTACGGCTACACTTACGCTAATCCATGTCTCCACTTTCTGGGACATTTTCTCTCTGACAATAACAATTGAAACAGTCAAGAGAAAATAACGGCCTTAATCTTCTCTTGAAACATTTAAATCATTCTCATGATTCACTTTCAACAAAATGCATTTGAGTAATGTACGAATATAAGCCGATAGACAAGGTTTAAAAGAACCGATCCAACTATTATGGAATAACCTCTTTGATGATCATTGGTTTGATGACGGCAGTGGAAAGACAACAATATTGTCTAACCTTCTAAAGGGAACTGAAACCTAGTGATTTCTTTCTCTGCTCATAAAAGTGTATCTAAAAATTACATCTCGACTACCGTTTTTTCAGATTTCAAAGCCAAAAAAATTCAAAAGGTAAGAAGTTGACTATCGACGCTGCCATTTTCAAAGTCAAAATAGTAATCTGGCCGCAAGCTAGACTCGCGAAAACCATATCGTGCGGTTCACAAACAGCTGCTACTCTGACCACAAAAGGAAAAGATCATTATTCGCATCAAAAAAATATAATTTTTTGTGGCATCTAATTGTTAAGGCAGATCATCATTGGGAGACAAAGCGTGGTCCATGTCATCATTTCATAATGATATACTTCTCACTAGCTGAGATGAAAATGATATGGTTTTTAGAAATGGTAATGGAATTTCCATTCAGCTGCTATCCTTATGCTGGTAAGAGAAATCTGAAAATCACAAAGCGCAGTCAATGTCATCATCTTATAATAATGTACTTCTTACTACCTCAGACGAAAACGTCATAGAGAGAGAGGTGCTTATAAGAGGGGGGGGGGTGCTTATTAGAGGGGGGCTGCCTATTAGAGTGGGAATGATTATAAGAGAGGGGGTGCTTATAAGAGAGGGGGTGCTTCTGAGAGAAGGGGTGCTTACTAGAGGGGGTGCTTTTGAGAGAGGGGTGCTTAGAGAGAGGGGTGGTTATAAGAGGGGGGAGCTTATTAGAGAGGGCTGCATCTTAGAGAGGGGGTGCTTATTAGAGAGGTGGTGCTTATTTGAGGGGGATGCTTAAAAAGGGGTGCTTATTAGAGAGGGGGTACTTATCAGAGAGGTGCTCTCTAGAGAGGGGTTGCTCATTAGAGAGGGGGTGCTTATAAGAGAGGTGCTTTTGAGAGAGGGGTTGCTCATGAGAGAGGGGGCACTTATTAGACAGCGGGTGCTTATAAGAGAGGTGCTTATAAGAGAAGGGGTGCTTATTAGAGAGGGGTGCTTAGAAGAGAGGGGGTGCCTATTAGAAATGGGGTGCTTATAAGAGGGGCGTGATTTCAAGAGAGGGGATGCTTATTAGAGAAGGGGTGCTCATTTGAGGGGGTGCTTATTATAGAGGGGGTGCTTATCAGAGAGGGGGTGCTTATTGGAGGGGTGCTTATTAGAGATTAGGTGCTTCTCAGAGGGATGCTTCTTAGAGAGGGGTGCTTTTTAGAGAGGAGGTGCTTATTAGAGAGGAGGTGCTTATTAGAGAGGGGTGCCTATCAGATAGGGGGGTGCTTATCAGAGAGGGGGTGCTTATTAGAGAGGGAGTGCTTATTACAGAGGAGGTGCTTATCTCCTTTCTAAAGAGGTAATTGTTCCACTGGAATAATGGTATTTGTAAGAGTCATCAATTTGGTGTCAATTCCACAATTTATTTGATCTAATCAACTACGCTCTGCACACTGCTTGAATACAATACCGTATGAGAAATCCTTACGAACAAGCAAGTGTCCTAGTCCATGACCTTAAAAATTCCAACAATATCCATAATGATTCCGTAATGTTCTATTCCTTCAATGTAAGTCTAGTTAAAAGATCATCCAAAGAATAAAGGCAAAAATAACAAGCAACAAAAACACATGTGCACTGAGGTTTGACCTTAGTGTTGAATGACAAAACCTCGGCAGAGACAGGGCCTAGTGCACAGGAAACCTAACATTTATAGTATTAAAAGATCAAATTTGGACAGATAGTTCAGATTACATTTGATGATTGAGTATGAAAGACACTAAACAGCTAGTTGAAAATAATTACTAATCATGCTCAAGGGAAGTTTCTAGAAAGGTGATGAAACCTTTCCCATCCTTGCCTTGAACATAAAGACACCTGTTAATAACATCACCACATTTCACAAGCAAGAGACTTTCACTTTCTTGAATGTATAAAATGTTGACAATTACATTTTGATGAACAATTTCCTTCAGGACTACATCCTATGGTGAAGGAAGGTCTAGGCCAACAATCAATCCATTCAAGCCATACTCTGTGATCAATGCATAGGCAACATTCTAGAAGAGGAAGTAGCAGACCACTCTACTATAGCATTTCCTCCCATGTGCACAAAACTGGACAAGGTAGCTGCACAAATTTCCATTTCTAGGATACATCATGCTGTGGAAGGTGACATGATCTTTTGTCATCCTATAGGAAACCAAGTATTCTAGGACAGGACCACTTCCAAATGCTGCAAAAAAGACATTTTGAAACTGTGTCAGCATCTCAAAGTGCACAGGTTCATGCAGCAGGATTCTCCCTTCTGTATACTAAACACTGGGCCTTTCACCAAGCAGATGTGAATTTGTATTTCTGTGAAACAAGCACCCTGTAGGTTTGGCTTACTCCTAGTTTTTCCACCATTTGCTTTGGGAGTCCCCTTGTTCCAGAGAACAGATTTATAAGGTGAGCAATGAATGCTTCAAATAAAAAAGCAGAAGTAAGTGCTAAGGAACCATGACCAAGAACTCTTGGAAAGAGAAGTGGAATTAAGCATGGGTGTTGTATGTACACTCTTCAATACCATAAAGACTTGGTAAAAGTCTCACAAAGTTATCAAGCAAAACTTGAACCTCCTCTACACAAGATTTGGAAATAGGAACTGAGTACAGGAAATGAAGAGCAGTATAGTGCAAAGTGATAGAAAGTACAGCATATTGAAGACATGGCAGTCCAACAAAGAGGGCAAACAAACAAAATTCTGATACTTTCCGTGTTGTAATTCAGCAATACTACATGGCTTTCTAGTAAAGTCACGTGGCACTTTGATAGAAAGGAACATATTGTGTAGCTCATGACTAATTCCTAGCAAACTGTTTGACTCTGTAGCATGCTGAGGATTGAACCACGGTTTGAATAGCTGTCTTTTCAGGATGCCTTTGCAAACACAATGCATTCAGTCAATAGGTAAATTGTCTGAAATGTCAACCAATTGACAAAACACATTTTCTCTTTTAATGCCAAACACTGTGGTTCCTCTTGCCTCCCCAATTCTCCCAAACATCCTGGTTTTGTGTGCTGCTCTGACAGCCAGAGTACCAGAAGGCCAGTATTCATACAGCCTTGCATGTATATGCCGGGCAGAATGACTGTACCTCCCTGGATGTTTGCATGTACTGCAGCCAAATTTACCATTGTACTGCTTGATATTTAAAAGCAAGGCTTTGGCAGGCAGGTGTGGTACAACAGATTGGATTCTGCACACTGATGACACAAGTTCACATGTTTCATTGTTACAATTACTACCATTTGCCATATTGAATAATTTACTGGTATAATGTTTTGAAAATAGTGGCACATGTGGTTTAGACTTCCCATATCACAGTCCAGTTAGTAAGATATTTTCAAATTTGTATCTTTCTTGGGAGGTAACTCCACAAGAAAACAAATAAGTGGCCACTGATACTAAACTTCTTGGACTTTATCAACTGTGCACTGCAGTAGTAACTACAATTAAAAGTACTTTCTTTGCTCTGGCACAAGGGTCATGCTGGATGAATTTTTGGTACACTCTATCATCCTGTATGTCTCTTACGCAGTCTGCAGCTGGAAATTGTGCCATAACCATTCTATAGTCTTTAATAAATTGCCAATGTTCTGAAAATATATTATGAGGGAACAGTTTTAACTCCTACCCTTTCCTTTCTTACTTTGTAAGAGAATAATGAAAAAAACAATCATTATATTAGTATGGGTGAAATAGAAAGGGCTCTGTCATCAATAAAAGTAGCATCAAGCGGATGTTCACACAGAATAGGGACAATTTTTTAACAAATAGAAACCCTTTTGCAAAGTAGAAGAACTCCCCAAGAAGCAAGACTCACCAAATAATGTCCTTTTTCTCTTTCTGAAGTTTGCGATCCTCTTGAGAAACTCGCTTCCCTCACCCAACTGCAACAAGACTGTATAAATAGAGAAGACAAGAATATTAGTTCCTGATCAGTTAACTGTTTTAAAGACAATTATTGATTCTGAATAATGGTAAATTTCTTGAAAATGTTCTGACAGCATTTTCATTATCATCATAGTTCAATTACAATAATAATGATAATAATAATCATGGACCACTTCCCCAGTAGAGCTTGTAAATAAACATTGCAAAACCAAAGATCCCAACTCACCAGAGGGCAGACCAGTAAGCTTTTTATAAGCACAGCTTGGGAGTTAAACTTAGGGCAACTGAAAACAAAACAGTGAGTATTGGGGTGAAGAGCTGAACCTGGGACCACAAGACTTAAGTCCAGTGCCCTAACCACTCAGCCACAATGCCTCCAATAATGCTCATAAAATTCACATGACTGTATGTCATAGCAGCAATGGTATTACATATGTTTTGACTGAAGATACCAGCTGTTAGTAGTAAAAATAAAGGCATAATGAAAACAACAAAGATTATTGGCAGACTATTTTAGAAACCATCTAACTACTGGGCACAAACTGAGTCCAAATAAGCGCTAGTATTTAAAAAAAACCTTTCAATCAAAATGACACTGTCAATGTCAGACATGTTATCATATTTTACTCTATGTCTCCTCATTGCTGAGTACTTCCCCTAGTTTTACATTTATTGAAAAAAAAGAATGGTGTCCACTTGTCATTCTCAACTGTGATTTTGCTTTAAGTTAAAAGCAAAATCACTGCTGAGAATCACAAGTAGACACCCATTTTTTAAATCAAAGACAGATCACATAACCAACATTTTAGTACAACAGATAATACCCATTCAAGAATTTTCATTTTTACCTGCAGGAAGTTGCTTCCTTAAAAAAAGTTTAGACAAATCCAGCATGTTGTCAATTGCACCCAAACTTTTGCTCCTTAGGTCATCTTAGCATCATCACTTCAATCTGCTACTAAAAATATCAGCATTTAATTGTCTCATGCTATGTAAAAAAAGTCACTCAAATGACTGGATTAATTTGGCCATTGCTTACACCCTGTTATATACACCCTGTTATATATATACCTGGTTTTACAGCTAATTGGACCTAGAAAAAAACAGAAAAACTTAAGAAAAGATGGAAAATGAAAACTAAGCCAAGAAAAATAACAGGAATTAAATGTTCATTTAACATAATTGCAAATTCTTGATTTTCAAAGAAGTTTTACACATTAGGTTTCACTGAGTTTTTTCTCAAATTCATTTTCTACACCACACAGTTTATAAATAACAAACTTTACTTATTTATAATTAAGTCTCTTTGTCTTCATGAAAGTGTTCCAGAGGACACTGAAACTTGCTATGGGATAACTGATTATGAAACTTGTTGCAAAAGATACTTTTAAATTAATGAGGTATTGCAACAGTAAGAGAAATTACAATTTCTGCCTTCTAATTTCAAATTTCTGGGAGACCACTTGATGCCTGCAGAGCACAACTGAAACTTAGGTTTTGCAATGTCTAACTTAGCTAAATTAAAAATCCGATGAGACAAATTGGCTGATTTCCATTTAAATGCTTTTGAGGTCAACTTTGAAGAACACACTCAGAGATTTGAATTTTTGTAAAAGGGATTAACCGTCTATTATCTTTTAGCTCTTATTTTAATGCTTAAGAGCCTCTGATAAGCAAACCGTTCTTGCAATAAATCACCATGACTGAATCTTAAATTCATTTAGAATAAGAAAATCAGTAAAGAAAAAAAAAAAAAAAAAAAGGTGTTGCTCTTCTAGACCATAAATGTGTTTACAATGCGGCTTAAAATGTGTAAGTGCAAGTCCTTTAAAAGAATCTCCTTCCAAACATAGCCATGCCATCTGATGTTCATGGAAGATACATTTTGTATCTGCGTCAATCTATACACTAAAGGACATTTAATATTATCGATTTCTCACCTTTCTTCGTCAACGATAATGAATGTAACACGACTTGGATCACGCTATAATTCGAAGAGAAGATTTTTAATGTTTAAAATAATCGCTTAAATTTCGTGGTGTTTGTTGTGACTAACGAAAACAAAAAAAAAAAACATCGAAGGATTGGTGCATGTTAGGGTAGTTCATTTGAGTTGTCCAACAGGGTTAAGTCCATGGACTGGAAGTCATTGTTTTTTCCATCACCCCATTCCTTGGTGATCAGTGCAACATTTGTTTGAAGATGAGTAAGTAACGTTCCTATGTAATAAGATACATTTCATTGTCAAAGTTCTTTAAAGATCTCTCACCTGTCGGGGGGTTCCTAGTAAAATTAGAATTTCATCACGGTAGAAAGACGTTACTGAACACATCCGATGTACAAAGCGAAGACGAGACGAGTTTTTAGAACAGCTCATCATCGGTCATCAAATGTAACACAACTGTCGAAGTAAACTGACCATTCAGTGCGACATCGAATCTTTCAACACTAAATTCACAGCAGCTCGTCCGCCATTTTGAATGTGACTTTTTTAAGAAACTGGGTCGAGAGCTACTCTAGGCCAATCAGAGAGAAGACGCCGTGTTCAAAGAAATCTGGGAGCTTAACTTCGACGAATCTGGATTTTGATTTTGAAATCGGGAATTCGGATTTGGCGGTAAAACATGAAATCCAAAAACAACTTTCAACGCTGAGAAACCCATCCTCAAAGTGGATCTCAAATAAGAAATTCAGCTCCAGATCTCATGGATTTATATGTTTTGCGTTTTTCCGGGAAATCCAAAAGGATCTCTTCTAGAAGGTGTCTCAATGAGGTTAACCGTTGGCTATAAAAAAAAAAAAAAAAAATAGCTTTGGATTTTTTTTTAATCCACCTTGAGGACAGAATTTTCAGCGTCGAAATCCGTTTTTGCTTTTCATTTTTATTACAAAATCCGAAATCTGGATTTACCAATCGAAAGCACCCAGAACTTTAGAGCCGTTTTCTCGATATTCTACAAGTATTCGCACATATTTTGGACTTTTCTGGATAGAAATAAGATTATTTTAATAAAGCCAACGGCTTTTAGGCTTTTCGACCATCTTATTAAGGCCATACTCGACAGCAAGATTCTTCAAAATTGGTTAATCCATGTCTAGCCTACGTGTAGGCTAGACATGGGAAATTTTCTCACTTCCAATAACACTTGAAATAGTCAATAGAAAATAATGGTTTTTATTCTCTTTGAAACATCATTCTTATGATTCACTTTCAAAAAATGCATTTGAGTGATGTACGCATATGAGCCGATAGCCAAGGTTTAAAAGAACCGATCCAACTATCATAGACTTACCTCTTTGATGGTCATTGATGTCAGTGGAAAGACAATACTGTCTATTCTTCTTAAAAGAACTTTGTTTACAACAGTGTAGCTAAAAATTACATCTCTACTACCGTTGACAGCTGATACTGATCTTTAAGCTGGTTAAAGGAAATCTGAAAACAAAATTCCCTCACGACAGGGTTCCTCTTCACATATCTTCAAACACAAACAAACAATTTAGAAAGATAATATGAAAGTAATGATTCCTTGGACAGCGCTCTCATATAGTCTTAGATTGAGCAACGAACTAAACAGGCCGGAAAGATTGAATTGAGGAAGTTGTACACAAATGAATGAGGGTGCTGCACATGAAACCAAAGTCGACCAAGAGATCATGAAGTGATAATATTGATTTATTTATAAATCAATTTTTTTTTTTACTCTGACAATAGGTCAAGGGCCTCAGTTGAGAACAATAGCTGTGTATGTCCATGAAGAAGTTTATCAAATATGGCTCAAATGAGTTTGTGAATTAGCAGTCTTTCAAACTTCTTCTTTGCCATTGCTAAATTGACCACGACGTTTTCCCAAAAAACATCTTTATGCCCTGGAAAAAAATAAATTTATTAGAAAGTTTAGTAGCCCACTAGCATGTATATTTACATGCAACCTCTTTTTTACTGTATTAAAGCGCGTTGATAAGGCAGGATTGAGGTTTTATCTCTACCTTTCCCCTTTTTAATGGCAAACATTTTTATCTTGAAAGTTTTTACGACAGTGTTGCAGACAGCCAAAAAAAAAAAAAAAAAGAAAAAGAAAGAGTTTCGTTGGCAAGTTTGTTATTATTATTTTTTATTCAGATTAATTTTTTTCGGGTGTACAGGATAGCGGGATTTTAGTATTTTCGTCAAATTGTTGTTATAGACCAAGACAAAAACCTCAAAACTAAAGGACTTAAGCTCATATTCAGCCATCTTGACCTCGCACTTTGTCAAAAAAGTGTATCTACAAATCCTGGTCATTTAAATATACTTCGAAAAGGAGTTTTCTCTTTTCCTCTCCTATGGTATCTTTTGGTATTTTCATGAGACGTGGGTGATCTGATCAATTAACTAATCGTGTTTTTTAGACACCTTGAACTTGACAATTGGGTTGACATGGACACTCTTTCGAAGTTCAGTTGAGTTTTTGGTAGCATGAACGTGTGTCATGTTACCTGTCATCAATCTAAAACTTGTTGGCCGATTACTTAGCAAATGCGCAATCTGATTGGCCATTCGTGTCCAACTGTCAATACAGCCTGTGTAGAGTTTCCTGTTGGAATTAGCTTTGAAAAAAAAAAGTCAAGTATGGAAAGAGCTCAGAGATATTGAATTTTCTTGTACATACCGTAATGATTCGATTTAGCGCCCGGGGCGCTTATTTACTCTTGATATCTAACTCACTTCTTTAGGCGTAGCATCCTTCGTAGTAATTCTTTGAAACATTTTCATTTCATCATTCATACAGTCTACTTTGTTCCTACATTTCTTAATGGCCATTTCTTGCTCTTCCTGTTTCCGCAACACGTCTTGAGTTAATTTTTACATGTCCAAGAGGGAATCCAACTGCTTTACATCTTCTGCGAAAGTATCATCAATAATTAATTCTTATATGATGAACAGTCATAGGGGCCGCTCTGTCTGTTTTGGTTCTTCAAGCTCACAGTGTTAATCAATAAACACACACTAAACACACACTATACTTTATTTCATGCAAATCATTTTGCCATCTCCACCCGCAAATAGCAAAAGCTAGACGAGGCAGGCGGAGAGGAAAGGTTACAGCAGTCATAACAGATAATATAATAATTGTAAAGTAACGAAATAAACTATCTGGATAAACAAGCTAAAGTTACAAAATATATAGTCTTACAGAATGATATTACAATCAAATTTACTACTAACAGAACTATCAATTATATACATTGAGTCGAGGATGCAGAATTTGCCATTTTTTGTAGGAGAATGGGCACTTCAACATAATCGTCCTCTGCTTCCATTATCGAGAGCAAAAAGTCATGAAAATTTTTCTTAAAAGCTCCTTTGGAGAGTCGACGAAATTCGTTTTTATCAAGATAGGATTTGAGGCGGTGGTACAATAATTTTTCAAATATCCGATTGAAAATAGACAGTAATGATATCGGACGATAATTACCAGGCTCAGTCTCATCGTCATTTTTGTACACAGGAACAACTTTCGCTTTTTTCAGTTTGGATGGAAAGATGCCCTTTTGCACAGATATGTTTATGATGATGGGGAGAGGGCCCGAGATAACGCATCTTGCGTCAGTTAAAATACGAATCGGACAAGAGTAGAGACCGTAGGTTTTATTTTTAGGGATCAAAAGTATCTCACGCTCAATTTCCTCTGGCGTAACTGGATCAAAGAAGGAAGAGCTTGGATTATAATTGGGAGACAAGTATTCGGTAAAAAAGCGAGATGAACGAGGTACGCGTGAAGCTAGGTTTTTACCGACCGAAGAAAAGTAGTTATTGAAGATGTTAGAAATCTCAAGAGGATCATTAGTTAAGCTTTTATCATCAGGACGTTTAAGGGAAGAAATGACTTGTTTTCTATTCTTTTTGTCGTTAATTAGCCTATTTATTCCATTCCAGGTGTTTTTCATATTGTTTAAATTTTCAGCAAAGAACGCATGATAATAATTCTTTTTACTCAGTCGAGTAAGACTAGAAATTTTATTTCAGTATATTTTATAATTTACAAGATCACCCGATTGGAGGAGAGAATTTTTTATTTTGATGGATTTTCTAAGGCCACTAGTTATCCATGGTTTAGAGAACTGCTTAAGCTTGCGATTCGAAACAGTCTTTAAAGGAGCATGTTTGTCAACGAGTGCCAATAGTGTATTGTAAAAGTAAGAAAAAGCTGTATCGACATCAAACTGATCGCGAAAGTTAGTTTGGCTTACCAAAGCATCAGAGAGTTCAGAGTTGAACTTGCTCCTGGAATAACCAGAAAAGTATCTGCGTTTTTGCTTTCCGCGTTTTGGCCGCTGAATAAAATTGTGAGAAATACAGAATTGTGAATAGTGATCGCTAATGTCAGAGATAATATTCCCACTGGTAATTTCAACATCAACTTTGTTTGTTAGAATATTATCAATTAGGGTGACTGAGTTATTGTAAACACGTGTTGGTTTGTCAATAGTTGGGATAAATGGAAAGCTTTGAAGAGAAAGTAAGAAGTCCTGAGCATAACAGGAAGTTTCGGCATGAAGGAGGTTTATGTTGAAGTCGCCCATAATATATATTGATTTATTTGAGGTAATTAGTCTTTCAAGTTTATCATCAAAATATTCTTGGAAACGTTTGGGAGAGTTATGTTGTCTATATATGATACCACAAATGATGTTACTTTTCTGTGGAAGTTGAATTTCGATCCAAAGTGACTGGAAGGCTTCATCAGATACTTTTTCAATGACAGTATATTTCAGGGAATCATTAATATACAAGCCAACACCTCCAGAAGCTAGAGGTGTCGGCACATATTCGAAAACGTATCCAGGTATGCATGGATTAAAATCCATTTCTTTACCACTGATTATTTTAGTTTCTGAGACTCCTATAATGCTAAATTCGAAATTTAACTCGTCCAATAGATGAACTTGAAAGTTTTCAAGATTTCGCTTAAGACTCCTGATATTATTTATAATAAAAGAGAGAAGCTCGAATCACTGACACGACTGGGAAGTTCACTTCTAAATTTGTAGAAACTATATGGGGAGTAGTATCGACTATGGATACGATGATTATAGATACTATCACTCGGATTGGTGTCTTCAAGTGCGTTTAGCTTGAAAAGATTAAGGTCATAAATGCTAGAGAGTTTTTCTAGGTATTTTTTGGCCGGTAAATGAGAAGGTAAACAGTTATTAAATTGACCATGAGCTAAGTTTACATTTAATCCAAAATATGGGAGCTCACGGAATAAAGATAGAGTATCGCGAGAGTTTAGATCGTTAGCACTCATGAATAAAACTAACTATTAAAAGTAGATGATAGTAAATACTTATCGAACTGATAA